TACAGTGTTTAACAACTGGACCAGTATTGATATATTTTGGTCCCCTGCCGCTCATAACCTACAAGGAACGAGTGCTGCAACTTTAAAATGATTTATAGAAGTTCGTAATATATGCTTGGTGACTGGCCATGTTTCTACATCTTGAAATTGTGGTCACAAAATGAAATAACCAACACGTTTATGGTGTTCAGTTATCTGTTTGACTGTAGAAAACTAACTATGTGCTAATAATTTGTATTGCAAGGTGTGACGAAGACTGGCTTCATTTGAATCAGGTTCCAGGTACCTTTTTTTTTTGATAAAATGGCAAAGCTGAGTTCAATGTGCATTAAAAAAAAACAAACAAAAAACAAAAAACAAGGACACTCATGCCTTGTTTTGATTTAACAACAAGTTACATACCAATATGTTTGTTTCACAATATCTTATAAAGCTTAATTTCGTTATCACCCAGATAACCCCCCAGCCTAAAAGCTCCAGTGTATAATAAATTATATTTGTCCTCAGAAACCATTTGTGATTGGCCTATTTTTACATTTCTCCCCAGAGGCTTTGAGATTCAAATCAAATTTTACCCCATCATCAATCAAGAGGATATAGTCAAAGATCTGTAGCTAGTCTGTAATGCATTGGGTGAATTACATGTGACTGGGACACACTCCTTTCTCTGATAAAGTTCTGGTAAATGGAAAAGACAACCACTTATTGATTGGATCTAGTGTATGGACATTGATTGCACTGTTTAACTCACACTTTAACACAATTTCACATGCAAATAATCTTGTCATTATTAAGAATGAAGGCTAGCTATTCAGTTATGTTAAAAGTTTATTCCTGAAGGTTTAGAAATCCACCCAAAACAAATATGCCCAATGCTGACAGGAGACTTCGGGGATCTTTTTGCCGTTCACCTCAGCACCTCAAAGACAGACGGAAGGTGCCTGATTCCCTGGGCCAATCCATACCTGTCACCAGCAAGAAATACTGGCCTGCCTGTGGGACCACAATCAATCAATCAATGTCCTTCATTTGCAATGCCTTTTACCACAGTCATTCGCCCAAACGCTGAAATGTTGACATAACCAGAAACATCATATTAACACACGTTCACTGATTGTATTGCAAAAGCACAAAATAATCACGTGTCCTTAAAATTTTGGTTTAATATGATAGCTATTTTAACGGTGAAATCTACATAAAGCCTGGGTTTATTATCTCATTCACCTAAATGTCGTCATATCAATAAAGACATGCATGACAGCAAATAAAAAAGACCGTGTATAGTTATCCATTGAACATTATGTTCCAGTCACCCTCAAATCATCTTTATTAAAATATGTTGACGTATATCTTAAATTTCTGTACATATTAACATACTAAGTATCCACATGAAAAAAAAAAAATACTTTCTCTTTCTTCGATGACGAAACCGTGCTAATGTTTTCACACGTTAACGTTAGTGCCCAACGTTTATGTCGCAAGCTAATGTGAACATTGTGTCAAATTATCCAACTGTTAAGCAATGCTTCAGGCGTGATGACGGACTTCACAATGGCACACTATTTCAACAGAAAACCGTCACGGGTTGCGATTGCAGAGCACAAATCCCGCATGACTAGCCTGTCTGGGTGTGTAGTCTAAATTTTACTGGAACAAGTTGAGATTAGCCATGGTGAGGACGTATGCCAAGAGGAAGGTAACATTAACAAACAGCACTTAGAAGAAATGTGATAAGGCAATGTCAGCGCCTCCCAGCTCAGATACAACCGTCCTTGGTGCACGGTGGTAGTGCTGTCATTTTTTTATATTATATATATGGATAAATATTTCAAACAGGCTGTCTGGCTTTGATTCGTCCTAAACATTAACGCCAAGGAAGCATCTTCTCACCCCTCCTCTGCTAGCCGTATGCTTTCCTACGTCACGAGTGGATTAGCTAGCAAGCTAGCTAGCGAGCTGCCTAGCTACCACCAGTACGTTAGTCTCATACACATTACACCTGTCCAACGTAACAAACGCAATGACACAGTTGAGAACACACGACACATATGCGCTGAATGCGTTCACAGAGGACAGGCGTTAATGGGAATAACCTTACCTACGTTAGCCGGTTAGCCGCTAATGCTCGCTGCCAAGCCAGCCAGCTGCCGATGACGGCCTGGATGGTGGGCGCTCTCCTCGGTCACGGCGGAGAGGCAGCGATGTTTGTCAAATTCAGTCCTTCTTTTATCATTGAAAACATCGAGCGCGGACAACCGCTGAAAAGGTTAGCCACTCCGTTTGAGTGTCCCGGAACATAATAAATTATGCGAAATATGTGTCCGCCTGCCTGCTCAGTGAAACGTGTGGCTCGGTCAGTTACAACCTGCCTTCACAACATCCTCCTCCTCCTCCCCATCATCATCAGCAGCACTAGAAGCCTGCAGGGAGTTCCGCATACTGAGAGGCCGACCTAACGGAAGCGACAAAACAAAACGGACAAAACCCACCTAATGCTCCCAACTGGGGATCGTCACCATTGGTTCACTCTAAAAATCTATTTGTACCATTTTCCTGCGTTTTATCGCGCAGCAGGAACGCCGGGAGCCATTTGGGTCCCCGTATTTATTTTTTGATAAGCCTACCACCCTTACATTATTTATAATTAACTAAAGTTAAAAGGACCAAAAAGCTAACAAAAAGTGACTAAAAATAATCCAAATAAATTTTAACTGTATGAATTTTAGTAGGCTACTTGGTTTAACGCAATGATAAAGAAATTTAAGATAAGATAAGATAAGATAGAACTTTATTAATCCCTCGGGTGGGTTCCTCTGGGAAATTCGGTTTCCAAAAAAGCACAGCACCGACAGAAGTTACAGAGTTATACACACACACATATATATAAATACAGAGACAATATAAATAAAATATACGAAGGGGATAAATAGAATAAATAGGAATAAAAATAAAAAATACAAGTGAATTGCACATTTCAAGTATTGAGTCTATTGCACCGTTGACTATTTACAAAAGTATTGCACAAAAGGTATTGCACAGTGAGGTGAAGAGGCACTACAGCTTAGTTGTTCCCTCCTTTGTCCTCCTGTTTCCCCTCCCTCTCCCCTCCAGAGAGGAGTTAAACAGTCTGATGGCGTGTGGGGCAAAGGAGTTTTTAAGTCTGTTAGTTCTTGTCTTTGGGAGAAGCAACCTGTCACTGAACAGACTCTTCTGGTTGTTAATGGCCGTGTGCAGAGGATGCCTGGCATTGTCCATAATGTCCATCAGTTTCTTTAATGTCCTTTTCTCTGCCACTGTCACCAGAGTGTCCAGCTTCATGCCGACCACAGAGCTAGCCCTCCTGATCAGTTTCTCCAGCCTGGATGAGTCCTTCTTTGCTGTGCTGCTCCCCCAGCACACCACAGCATAGAAAAGTACTCCAGCAACCACCGACTGGTAAAAGTTTTTTTAAGTGAAATATGTGCCACATATCCCCAAAAGTTTCTTCAATCAGCCAACCTGATGACAGAGTACTTCATGCTGACTCTAGAGCAGTAGTGTTGAATAATCTGTCAGTAACCTGGGGCAATTAAAATGTCTCCAGATCATTCAAAAAGTGGAATTTGCATTTCAAAGCTCTCGCTTTGAACACTCAGCATGTGTTGCTGAGAATGAAAATGAAACGGTACATGTTGAACATCTCTATCAAAGATAGCATTAACCAAATTAATGGCTGGGTACATTCAGAGAGAAAAAAGTTATGAGGTCAGCAACATAAAAAGGCTTGAAGATCTGCTGAAGACAAACCAGAACTGCACTGAACGAGTCTCATCAACCTCTCAATCCATTACAATTTATTCCTTGTAAAACAGCAAATGTGTGGATGAGCTAAGAACCTGAGATATCGGCAGCATTACCACAATATACATATACACAAAAATAACTATTGCTCTTTGATTACAGTACGCACACTAGAAAATAATAATAAAGGTAATCATATTCCCTCTGTGAACCGAAATGGTATACAACCAAGGGATATTAATAGTAATATTACAGAAGCTATTTTTAGGTCCTGCAAGCATCAAACCAAAACCCAACATACAAAAATTCACATTTTGTTAAAAAGGGACCTAAAGGAAAGTTTTGCATAAGCATTTCACCGGTTTGGTTACACGCTCCTGCATCCGTTCTTGTCTTAACCTGCTCATTATTTTTTTAATAAATAAAACACTATATCAGAGATTGATTATATGGATATCAACAAAATCCAAATCTATAACTAAATTTTAAGGATTGACATAGTACATGGTCAAAAATGCCAGGACACCACCATCTTTTCTGTGCCTACAGAATGAAAAAAAAATTGTCATAGCTAAAGTTTGTTTCCTGATGTTAGCTGCTGTTCCATTCTTCTTCTGGCAGGAACAAACCCTTATGGATGGTCTTTTGTTAGACGTTTCCCACAAGCAACTACTAAGTAAGAAAATCCGGTCACTAGGTTTTCCACAGCTATTCGAACATCTTAAGAGCACCCCACTGTAAGGAATGTGGCTGGACAAGCATTTGCATTTATTCAGCCAACCATTAAGTAACGTTTACTGTTTTTATCATTTTACACATTTTCTTAATGTTAGGCTGTGTGAGACATTTTAAAATCAGTTTTCATCCAGCTTGGTCAAAGATGCATGAACCAGGCTAAAGGATTGTATCATTAGATCATTTAATCCACATGGTGAAACATAAAAGTCAAGTTGTCATAGAGGACACGTCATAGACGATGTCAAAGGCAAATACAAACTAGGGAGTTAATTCACCAATTAATTATTGTCATCACTAATTTTTTTTTAAACCACTAGAGTTGTCATTAATTTAGTATATCAATATATCATTTTCACACAAGACATCCTTACATGTCACAGGCAGGAAAGCAAAAAAAATTAAATTAAAAATAAAGTGGAAAATAATATTGTCAGTTTCGGGGTTCCCGATGCTGTGCATGGTGGTTCACAGGAACACTTTAATAAACAAAGCCAATTTTATTAAAAGCATGAGCTGAACATGGGAGAGATAATCAGTTTAAGCTAATATTATACAATACAGACATGTTGGTCAATATGGCGATAAAGTTTAAAAAAAAAAAAAAAAAAAAAAAAAAGGGGTCAGTTTGGTTACACAATCCAAGCTTAACAACCAAAAATTCAAATAATTAAACATCAAGTCCACCAGCAAGTGCTTTTGGACAAAAATCTAATGTGCAATAAAGTGAATTTTGAAGAGTCTACTTGTGCCTGTGTGACATTTGTGTAGCAGGTGTAGATAATGTCCCATTTAACCAGCACGTTAGCCGTCTGATGGAATTTATTAGCTAAAAGGTCCCCAAAAACATGATTCTGGACGACCTCCCGGCTGAAATAATAGAAGTTGTTTGTTAGGACAGAGCAAACTGCATTTTACATCTACAGTTATTGAGAAATCCAACCTTGACATCTTGTAATGGCTACAGAGGTAATTAAATTACTGTAAAACAGACTGCAAAGCCATTAAACTGTCCCAATTTTCAGCCGTCTTCACTCAACATAGGAAGAGAAAACAGACTTCACAATTATTGGCAGTCCTTTATCATCCATTATGCAGCATTTCAGTGTTACACCGCACAGGACAAGGCATGGAAAACACAGCAATAAGAAAAACATATATATATCTCTAGTAAAGTAGTTCTTTCCTGTTGATTCCTGCTCCCTGTTAATAAAGATTTTGGTACATGTTTTTAGTGAGGTTTCCCAAAATCTGACCGGTTAAAGCTGTTGATGTTGAGTACCCATTCAAGGAAGATACTCACACTATTACAGACCTTTAGATCAAGTTAGCTTTCTAACTAGAAATTCAGCTTGACATTTATTGTCCTCCGTATTAGTTACATAGTAGATTATCAAAAATAAAATGTCACAAAACGTCTCCTTTTCTGCTCAAACATTTGACACACTTTTAAATGCTAGAGCGAAATCACAAAAGTACATTTCACTTACACAGTTACAAAGATGGTGTTAATCAAGCCAATACTTTTCATTTATTTGTGAATGCAACTTTGACAGAAAAGGGGCTTTCTCACTGGGGAAAACAAAAAAAGGCTCAGAGACATGGTAGATTGACTTTGCCAAACTGAAATTTCATCTTTCCTTACATCTTAAAGACAATACCGCCTGTATTTCAGGGTACCATTGCACTGAGTGATAAAACAAAACAAAACACACCATTTCCTGTGAAGGGCCCAGCCTACTAGTCACCTGCAGAGTTGTACTTTCTTGTGCGTTAGCATGTGATTGTACAATCTTGAGGATAAGCTTTGCATTTTTTATTTTTAATGTAAACAAATATACAATTTACACTAACTGTAATGGGCTTCTACAAACGACCAAAAAGGTCCCTTATTCATCTGGAAAAACTAAAGTAAATCTATTAAACTAATAGATATTAAAGAAGCCTCCAGTTCTCAGAGGTCTACTTCACATTACCTGAGCAACTACACCAGCCTTTAACTTTTGTACTTACTCCAAAGGGAACAAAAATCTATTTGCTGCCATATTAAAATGCATATTACGTATCAACCAAATGGCCTATATTTTAACCTAATGTCAATAAAGTGAAAAGCTGTCGTGGGTCTGATTATGCCCATCTTTTCCCCGTTCTATTGCACAAATGCAAATATCACCATTTTAACTGAATGTGTGACTGTAATCCTGACGTTTGAAAGAGCCACAGCCAAGACCTGCTCAGTTCCTGTTGATTATTATTGTTAGAGGAAAAGGATAAAAACCGCACTAGAGATTGACAAAACGTTCAACAAATATTAAATCAGAGATAACTGGCTAAAGAGCCAAATGCTGGTATTTAACCACAATCACGTCAGTATCTACATGGAAGAAAAAAAAAAAAAAAAAAAAAAAGCAAGGTTCAAAGAAAAGTAGGCGTTCATGTTCCTCTTAGGAACACAAAGCCATATAGCAGTCTGAGAGCAAAGGGCAGCGTTGCTCTCCCTTCCCCATGAAAAAGAAAACAACCAGTCCTTGACAAGATCGTCAGAAAGGAGTCAGTGATCTTGCTGGATGCAATGTCTGTCTCAGGCTTAACAAAGCCACGGAGTGTGACATCAGGTTTGCAGTCACTCATTGACGTCCCAGATTTCAGATAGTAGTGGGGGAAGCTTCTTGTCCTGGAGGCGAAGGGCAAAAACCTGCTCCGAGTGGACGCTGCTTAGTGTACGAAGGCTCACCAGCTTCATCAGCATGCGGGGGAACATCAAGTGATCCTAAGGAAGTTCATGTAAAAATAAATGAATAGTTTCCAAAGCGCCTTTCAAACACAATCACTTCACAATATGTGTGTGAAAACACACAAATACCTATTATCAACTCAGCTGATAATGTATAATTGTTGCTGTTTTTAGATAACAATATGTGGTCTACATTTGATTCCTTTCACCACTCAGCTTTATCTAGCACACAACTGCTCTTCTAACAGTTCAAACCCCCTACAAGTCTCAACAATACAATATGACCTTAGTCATGACCTAATGTGCTTGTTGTGATGATGACAGCCTGATTATACTGATGTTCAGTCTGTAACAAAAGAAAAAGCTACAGATATATCTGGTGCTTACATTTGGTCTCTTAATCATGATATAAGAGCGCAGTGCATCCACATAGGGCTGTTGCAGCCGCTCCACCAGATCATGATCTTGCACATTTGGCCGATCTGAAAGCAAATATACACACACACACACACACACACACACATTAATCTCTCCTGTTTGTTTATGGAGAAAAAAAAGAAGATCTATTTTGGTAAAATGCAAAGAAAGCCTTCTGAGGGGAAAAATGCTCAATCTGCAAATGCAACCAGTTCATTTCTCCCAAAGAACTAAAAAGGGAAGGATTAGTTCTCAAAGCATTTTCACTATGAGAAGGGTGTGTAGCTTATAAATTCTGACCCGCAGAAAAGATGTTGATAGCAATGAGCAGAGCATATTCGGCCTCGTCCAGGTGCAGGTCATTCATTCCTTTTGAAAACTCAAAGATGGGGTTGATGAACTCAAACTGAAGCCCTGAGGAGGTAAGAGTGGAGAGAGGAGGGAGGAAATGAAATGTCATGTTACAAATAGAAACGCACTGCAGCTGCACGCTGTGGATTTGAGCATTTTCACAGTAAGGGAACATATGAAAACATATTTTCTATACATCTCTGTAATCTTTGACTTTCTGCTAGAAGGCACACGATACAACCATTAAAGCATTAGATGCAATTAAAGCAGAGTTTTTAATCATTACTGATGGGACTGGTGCAATAAGGTGAATGCAGGGACTGGCGTACATGTGCTGAATTTTGTATATATTATTTCTCCTTTTTAACACTATAAGTACTGCACTTAAATTTTTGTCATCATAAAAACATTTTCATTCTGACAGATGAAATGCACACACTGTGGTTAAGTAATAAAAACAATTATTTGGTAGGTAGAAATGAACAAATGAACCTGCTTTGGCGAAATCCTCCTTATTGTAACTGAAGTCCTTCAGAAATGTAATGCTGTCAATGGCAGGATTGTATCGCCGAGACGTCTCAAGCAGCATAATCTGAGAAAGACAAAAAAACCCATATTTTTTTGTCTTTCAACTACACCAGCCTTTAACTTTTGTACTTACTCAAAAGGGAACACAAACTATTTGTTACAATGAAAATGTAATAGTCAGTTTGTACACTACAGATTCACAGTTATTAATCAAAAGCAGAAGCAAATTTGCTCAGAATATGTATCTTATGAGTCATTATTTGCTCTTCTTTTTAAACTAAATTTCCTTTGTTAAGTATTTTGGGTTTTCTCATCATAAGCAATGTTAAAGTATACTGTAGTCATCCTTGGATACTATTAATTGTTTTCACTACAGAGCTTTCCTTTCAGAAATATACTGATCATATTACTATTTCCGAGCACTGGGCTCTGTTGAGGGTTTGTTACTGCCACAGAAAAACAAATACTAGATCAGAAGGCTTATAAGACTGTCGGCTGCAACAATTTCTAATAACACTGAAAACAGCTGAACCGAAAGATCAGCAGAATTTTTTTTCTGACGTGTTTGATTCTCACTGGAGTAACTTGGAGTTTGCTTGCTTGATACTTAACAGTTAAGATTTGAGAGTTGCACTTGTGTTTACTCCCACCTCTGAATCACAGAGTACTTGCCAAAATGAAATGAAAATGCTAAAGTATTTTTAGTATGTTTAGAGTTTGGTTGTGGATTATTCACAGAGGCAAGACAACAAGGTAGCTATTCTTAGAGGGGCCGAGTTAAAAATCAAGCAATGGACAGCCAATCCAAAGAAAATGGGCTCATAATGAGGCATCTTAAATCTTTTCATAAAAGGGCCAGTAAAAGATAGAAACCATTCCCCCCCCTCTAGTTAGTGTAATGGGTACAATTTAACAAAAGTCACATTTCTAGCAACAGACCTCAATAGTAGATGTCTTCAGTAGAGCAATCTGGTCTTCTCTTGTGAGCTCAAGGAAACCAGGAAGCTGCTTAGCAAAATCCACAATCTCTTGGACTGACATGATTGCCAGCTCAGTGAAGTGAGCGAACCGCTGCTGCCGCACTTCTCGATTCTGCAAATCCTGACTCTGTGGCCAAGGCTGGAATACATTAACAGTAAATATACAGTAGTGAGATAAATCTGACTCTGAGACAAACCCGCCTCAGCATTTGAGACACTGTCTCTATAGCTGCTGCCATTTCAGCTCCAACTCCCCTCTGAAGCACTTACCGTCACTTTTGGTCGGTCAAGGAAAGACCTCTTGTTGCATTGCTTCTGCATAGCCACCAGCTTCTGAATCATCTCCTGCTGCTGTGGATCCAGTGTGGCTGCTTCCTGAGGAGGGGTGGGTGTGACCACCGTGGACGTGCGGGCCGTTTCCTCCTCCTGCTGCTTCTTCAGCTTTTTCAGTCTAATTTGCTCCTCAGAAAGCACACCTACAGGTCAAAAGAGGATGCACATCCTAAAGCTCAAGCTAATTAAAGAGTTTCTTTTCATTGTCACGACTTGCACTCTGGCTAGAAACCCACATGCCAACATTGCATGTGGGTTTGCAAGTTTTCTTCATCTCTGATTCATTTGGCGTACAGACACTCACACTGCTCCAGCATCCCCGCCTCCCGACACTTGCGCAGGCGGCACTGCTGGCACTTGCGGCGCATGTACATGTCCATTTCGCAACGACCATTGTTTTTGCAGGAGTACTGGGCACTTTTAATGACGCTGCGCCGAAAGAAGCCCTTGCAGCCCTCACAGCTCAACACGTTGTAGTGGAAACCAGAGGCCTTGTCGCCACAGACACTGCACACCTCGTTGCCCAGCATCTTTGGAGCAGGCCCCTTCTTTCTTTTCACTGGCTGACCATCTACACACAAATGAAAGAGATATGACACCAATGTGAACTCAAGAAAATGATCTGGGTTTAGTTAAGATAGTTTCTCAGAAGCAGTCTGTTATATATGCTCCTTTCAAGAAACAATGGTTACTTCTAGGTCTTGTATCTAAACCAAAATAGAACAGAATAAACACACTCAACGTTACTGACTCATCATAAAGGTCAAACTATAGAATAAGCATGTCTAACATCAAGAGATCAGAAGGAAATAATACTGGTTATACTGGTCTGTGGAAGTTGTCACTCCACTTGCAGTACAAACAGCCATAACTGAGATGGGCAAGTTTAGTCATGCCTTTTTCTAATTTTTGTATTTAACAACTAGGTCCTGTTTTCCACTCAACTATTTACAATAGTGACAAATACAAAGACACTGTTTTCCTACCCTCCAATTCTTAATAACCAACTCACAGAAGAGCATTGTTTTCATTTAAAAACAATGTATTTAATGCAGGTTTGCTGAAACAAACTTTTAAAACATGCACCTGTGCTTGCAGATGTGTCACCTGCAGCTGGATCCAGCTTAATGTCATTTGGTTCTACTGGCAGAGGGCTGCTCATCTCAGCCAGCGAGGGGCCATTATGAGGGGGGACGGGGAAATCGTCTGGGTGGGAGAGGTCAGTCAGTGACAGCAGGCCATCATGCTTCATTGTGGTACTTCCACTGCTTTCCTCAACCATGCAGTCCAGCTGCAGCTCAGAGGCCCCATCAAACACCTTACTCTCATCTGAGAGAGACGAGACAAACACAGCGAAAACAATAATCATCGTCCAAGGCCGTTCCACTCGTCTTTATCTTTATTTTGACAGTTGTCTGACATAAACAGCCATGTTCACAAAAACATATACAACATGATGCAGCAATCACAGATTCAACGGTAAATTATGAGCTGGTGAGAAAGGGCCAATGTATTCTGTGCTGGGTTTAAAAGGGCATGTTGGACCATTTGCTACGGGAGAGGATAAAGGAAGCTAACAGCACTTCCTAAGCCAAAAGCTTTCCACTTGAACTGCAAACTCTGGGTGTGTCTGAGATGTCACAACTAAAAAGTTCTGAAATCAATGTGTCTCTGCCCCTTTCTCGCTGTCACTCGAGTTATTTTTGATCTAACACTAGCTTGGACGTTTTTATTGCAATTAAAATAACTTAATTACACATCACCTGTCTTTTGGCAGCTCATCTCCATATGTGACACACATGTGTATGAGGTGAGAGCAGGGAAAGGAGAGACTATTACAACTGTAAATGGTTGAGGTATGCAGCAAAAACTTCCATAGTAAGCTTAAATAAGACTACCGGTAGTTAAAATAAAAGATAAGCCACATAAATAGATAAATTACTTATTATTTCACTAAATTATTTTAGTATTATTTGTTGAGAAATGCACAAACTGCATTTATTATAAAGTAGGATATTTCTTTTAGGGCTCTCTCCCCACTAAAATAAAAAGATAATACAATATAAAAAACATCTTTTATACCCACTCTTGGAATGTAGAGCAAGTACTTCATATACTTCATGGCATAATCTAACAATGACACGTATTGGAAGAATTGGCTCCTGCTCAGGTAAACCTCTCACTCTGGACTGACAGAGATCGTTCCTCTTACCATGACCAACATCTGGGATATCAGTCACAGACAGCGTGGACATCTTCTGCACAGCAGCTTGTCATTACGAAATCAACACGTACCTGCGAAATGAAAACAACAGGACATTATGCTAAAAGTTACTATCACTACAAAATCCTCTGAAGCAAAGTTTTTCCTTGGATCCTACCCGTAAATATGGGTAAGATCCCCCTTGGACTGACAAAGACAGCTTAAGGGTCTCAATGCAGGTTAAAAGCAAAAAAAAAGACAGTTTAGTCTGTTCTGATGACAGACTTTAATTTCAGGAAATGTATTGTCTTCTTTAAATATACAGTCTGCACAACCCATGTAGTCAGCTGTTGTGGCTACAAAGCATTTCTAAAAAGAGAGTTTCACAGACAACATGTTAGCCACCACCTGAGACATACTCAAGTGTGGGTGACTCTGGTAGAGCTATGCCACAGAGTTACAAAACAGTCAAGTGTGAGAAACACACTTAGTTCTCTTGAAACCTCTTGGTTGGGTGTGTAATTAAGAAAATAAGGATGTGGTTTGAAGATATCGATGACAAGTGGATTATTATGCTGTTACGCAGCATAACACAGTTCTTAGAAAGAATTAAAATAGATCAAGGCTTGTAGTTCTGGCCACTCGGAGCCTGGCTATAAAGATGTGCATACAGCAAAGCCAACTGGATGTAAAAGCAGAAATGAAAGCATGTCATGTGCCACATATGGATACATTTCAGGAAACTGAATCAGCAGGAGGCTATTTGGCTGTTCTTAACCAGCCTACAAGAAACAAGCAAGTTTGGAAATGAGGGCCGAGTTATTTTTGTGACAAATAAAAACGATAATGTTCAAACTTTCTGACATCTTTGTCACACGGCATGATAGAGAACTGTATTCTGTCTGCACATCTAATGCAGTTCATTATTCAAACCTACAATTAAAAAAATTATTATAATCCTTTTTTGGAAATGTTTTTAAAGCAACTACGGTCACTCTTGGTTCACTTCAGAGGCTGTAGCTGATGACAATTTGAACTTTACTGCCTTACATTTAGGGATGCTTCTGATATTTAGTCTACCCCCCCCAACACAAATGTAGTGCATAAACTAACCAATTAGTAAACAATGAATTACTCGACAACTTAAACTACTTTATTTGATGTAATATGCTCAGTGACTGGAATAAAGACTGTAAAGGTCTACTATAGCCAGAAAGTGATGAGCATAAAAGACATAGGCATCAAATTTATGGAAACTCATGGTATGCCAATTGGTGCAGGTCCTTTCTGTGGCATTGCAACCTCAAAAACTGGTTACTCTGCAAAGCACCTGCTTCATAAATGGTGATAAGGACTCGGCAACCACTCCTGCAAGATTTCATAACATAAAAAAAACCCACATACAGGTAGGTGTTCTAGTTGGTATAACTATGTAGTAACATCCGTACTTATCAGTGTAACAGTAGTACTTTTCCATACAAGTATCATAAAGCCTTTCTGTGCATTTTAAAGTTCCCCATGTTTCCAACAAGATAAAGAAAGACAGAGAAAAGAGAATGAAACTGTGAATATATGTGACTGAAATTACATAACTCTGCTGGGGTTATGACAGTTCAAAAATTAAAGGGAAAGCCGGTAATAAAATGAAACAAAGAACACAGCTACTATGGCAGTAATGTTCCTAGTCTCACTGATAAGCTTTTACATACCCAATGAAACCAGTAAAATCGTATTGTTCCTAACAGTTAAGCTAAACGATAATGAACACAAAACTTCTGTTGGCATAAAGAGGCTTTGGTAACATTTCCATGATAGCATTTGTGATTGTTACACCATGTTGGCTAATGGCACTAAACTGAGGCTATGTATGAATAATATCAAGTTTGCCTTTCAAAGCATGCTGGCAATTTCTAACATTTACTTTTTGGAACTTAACAGTTTCCTCACTGAAAATGCAGCTTTGGTTTGATGATAAAGAAAAACAAGGTCAACGACACTTTGACTCAAAGCTCTTATCAGCTAGAATTGAACTGCGAGACCGACTGTGACAGGCACAGCGGTGGAATGACCTTACCTCAGAATCTGGTGTCTTATTTATCGCCTATCCATCTTTCCCATTAGAGTCCACAACCTCAGCCTGCTGATATCTCTGCGGTGATGCTAAGGACTAGCTCGCCTGATGATCCTTAAAAGGATGCCAAAACCCCTGTGACTTGTTGGGCAGAAGTTTAATGACTTGATATCTCGAAGAGGGCAAGTACGAAAGAAGACAAGTCCCTTTCTACAATGCCCTATGGGAGACAGGAGGGAAAACACACAGAGAGACGGGGAGGAGGGAGGGAGGTGAAAGAGGGAACACCATAGGTTACTATTGGTCATTTGCACAGCTCTTAAATCCACACAGGGTTGTGGTGTTCGATTCTTTTTCTCCAAGTATTAGAGCCACCCATTTTCAATCTTTACAAGGTTCTTACTCCATTTTTCTCCAGTTCTGTCAAAACATAGCATCTACTTGTCCTCTCTGTCACCACTCTAAACCTTCCTCACAAAAATGCCACACAGCTTATTAGAAAAAAATATTTTCTAACATATAACAGTGAATTATCACTCATCCATATATTTTCTTCCACTTATCCAATTCAGGATCATTTCATTAAGGACAAAAAAGCCTAACCTGGGGGTTTGAGGTTTGAAACGAATGATATTCAGAATATGTTGATTATGATGTATTATTCTGGTCATACAAGTCTAAGCTTAGTTGATTTACTAGTTAAAATGTACGATGATCGAGGGCATCGTGGTCTCCTGCATGAATTAACAGTCTTTTGCTGTAACAATTCCTATCTGCATGTGACCTTAAGTCATCCCTGCTCTCGTCTCGCAGATAAAGTCCAATGTCCCCTGCAACTTATCAGTCAGTCACCTTTGACCATGTTTTCACAGACTGTTGGAAATTAAATGAGAGCACCAACAAACAAACACAAAAGAAAGAAAGAATTGATGCAAATCTAAAATCGCCCATCAATAATAACTTAAATGCAGTTCTTATAATGATTTGTACCTGGTTTGGTCATCATAATCTTTTATAGTTGATGATCAATCTAGAGTCAGTATTATAAAATACAGAGAAAAAAAAAGAGAAAGGACCTGTTCTCCATTTACACTCCAGCAAGTCAAACATCAGTCTGCTCTTTAATAAACAATTTGAGGCCAAATAAAATCGATGGGCGTCAAAATTAGGCTTTTATAAAAAACTTGTGAGATTATTTAGCAACTAGTATTTTTGCATGTGCCAGTCAGATAACTAAATAGTAGAAATTTAGAAAACAAATTGTTCATTTGGTCATATTTAAGTTTAAAACCCTTAATAAAAATGTCCGCGTTCATTATGGGCTTTCTGAGTCTTCAGTGATTGTGAACTGGTAAGTAATATGCAAACAAAGCTGCTGAGAAAGATTCAAATTACTGCGCGTGTCAGCAGCCAGAGTGGCGGGGAAGACTGAATGTGAGAAAACACGGCGTGAGAAGGTGCGAATCCAGTGTCCGAAGACAGCATGACTACAACTGGGAAACATCGCTTTCTCAGAGTAACAACGGATGCAACTCTCTACGGTGAAGCAGAAATGGATTACTGCACTCAGCAACATCTTGGTGTGAAAGGAAAGAGTCAGTGCTTTCAGGGATCACAGATTCCACAACCAATCAATGTTCCCAGACAAACACACGCACACAATGTGGTGGAAGGAGAATAGAAGAAGTGTATTCACTTGCAGATCCACCCAGATGTTTTCACTTCTTTAGCCTCCATACTTCTCTTCTGAGTAATCTTTGGTGGAGCCGTGTTGGGAATTAAGTCAGGTCACCGAACTAAAAGATATGATAAAGATATGATAAAGATATGATAAAGATATGATAAAGATATGATAAAGATATGATCCACCCCGCTGAGATAGCAGGTGCAACAGATGTCACCTCTGCACACAGCACTTGTCAGGAAAAACAAGTGAAACCACCTCTACGGGTGGGGCAGGTGCATCAAAGGGTTTTCACACTGAAAACAAGCACATATGAGGGAGTAAACAGCCTGCCTGGCTTGTCAAGCTAAAGTAGCTTTAGTAGTAGTACCATTAGTTTTTTGTTTTTTCGCCCTTTGCAACCATAGTAGGAGCACTTGAAAGCGCAAGTGAAAACTCTTAACACGTATGACAAGTATTGTTTTGACAGTACCGGTATACTGTGATGTGGCCGTTTTGACCGCAGATTTGCTGCTAACATTAGCTTAGTTAGTTAGTTAGTTAACTAAGCTTAATGCCACTTAAGTAGTAACAAACAAACGCACACAGCTAGCCTCAAGTTTGGCTTGTAAACATCAGCCAGCTTACATCGACATACGTTAAACGGTAAACATGCCATCAACACTGCTATTCAAGCAAAACAACCAGGTGTTTAGGTGAGATTAGCTTCTTGGTCGAGCCGCACAAGGCCAGTATCGTTAACGTTAGCCGAGAAGCCCCGCACACCAAACGAACTTCCTATAAACAAGTTTAACTTAGCTAGCTTGGCTAAGTTAACGTCTCTGGGTCAATAAAAACGTTCAGAAATGACACAGAGCTGCGTTTTTAGACTCACCGAGGACTTAAGGACTTTGGGGCTGCTTGTTAGTTGGGCTACTGCGTCCGTGTGCGATTCCTGGCAAGGGCTTTAACAACATACGCTAACATGTTAGCTCGCTAGCCAGCGTCGTTCTATCATGTGATCCAGCGGCCCCGGGGAGCTCCGGCTGCGGCTGTCGCAGCAGGAAGCAGGTTTCATCAGGCAGAGGGGGCCGGGGCCGGGGGCTTCTCTATTCCGGATTTGGTCTTGCAGGAGCGGAAAGCCGCAGCACATTTATCGGCCACAGGGCCCACTTGTTTAGAATTATAGCCTTTTAGAACACAGACTTTTTAAAATATATATACATTTAATTGAGGCCCTATTTATTTATTTACATACAGAAAAAAAAAAGTCGTTTAAATTATACTTAAATAATATTCAGTCTCCCCTTTTTCCTTTTTCATTTTTTTTTGTGCTTTAGGAATTTATTCATGATTTCATAATCAACTAAAATGAAATGAAATTGTTGAATTTGGACCCTCTATATGACACCGATAAATTATTGTAATAATGTAAGATGCGCCTTGGTTGATGATGCTGCAAACTGTGAGAAATTTACAGGGAACCTAATAACAGAAGGACTGCAGCAAGTGTGAACGGGGAGGTTTATAACATGGTAATAAGCTCTGATATGACGTATGGTTTGGAGATGGTAGTGCTCACAAAAAGACAGGAGGCCGAGCTGAAGGTGTTCAGATTTTCACTGGGAGTGACCAGAATGGATGAGATTAGAAATGAGAGGGACAGCTCAGGTTGAGCAGTTTGGAGAGAAAGTTAGAGAGGCAAGGCTGAGATGGTTTTGATATATCAGAGGAGGTATGGTGGAAATGTTGGACAAAGGATGCTGAATATGAAGCTACCGGGCAGAATTGAAAGAAGAAACCACAATGAAGATTCATGGATTTAGTGAAAGAGGACATCAGAAAGTTGGTGTGACAGAGGAGGATAGATAGAGGGTGAGATGGAGGCAGATGACCTCTAAAGGGAGCAGCTGAAGGGTAGAGAAGAAGATGAATTTGTAGAGGGAACCTGGTGTTTGTATTGGTTGCTGCTGTAATTTATAGTCCATCTTTATACCGTATGTACCTGCTTATACATGTGTAAGACTCTGAGAAAATATGGGGTCTATTCCTGTACATTTTACAGAAATTGAATGGATCACAGACTTTATACATACTTCTATTTTCCCTTTCTTATTACACTTTCTTTTCCATAATCCAACACAAAGTCTCATGACCCTCCATTTTTCCCATAATAAATCTGTAATAGGACACAAGGCTGAACACGAGCGTGAAAGCCATGCCCGATGTTTTCTATACCAGTTTTCTATACTCATTTTATTTGTGATTGCCTATGGGCCCCACCTGCTGGGACTGTGAAGGTCATATCACACCAGTAAAATAACCCACAAGTCCCCTAGCTGAAGTGATCAAGTATTCAGCATCCATCTCAGTACACCAGGCTTTATTTCTGGTCCACTGAACTTTTAAATGAGCACCCATCTTTGGGGGATTTTTGCTTTGTAACCCTACTTAAATAGCCCTGTATTCTAGTTTCCCTTTATTGTCACCCTTCTGTATGCACAGTGTATACAGCGTATGTAGACAGTGTTCAGAGTTACAACATGCCCAATAAAGTCACTGCGCCTGCTCAGCTCAATTCCACTGTTATACTTTGACTTATAAGTAACACTTATTTGTTCAATTTGGTAATCAAAAACACCCATATCACTCGTAAGTCATTGCAGGGCAAAGTCATTTCAATTTTTTGGTTAACATGGTAACCAACATGGCTGAGGAGGACACATAGTGGATGGGTCAGACTTTTGGAATAAGAGGTCATTCATCAGCTTGTTCCGCTAGTCTGTAAGCACGGCTGTTATTAAAAATTGCAAAACAAATGGAAATGTGTTGTTAAGGATATTCTGCACTCGCTGTCAACAGTTCTAGTGTGTGTGGTGAATTCATTGATTCACTTCTGCACCTACAGAAAATGTTTTTGATGTTTGTCCCGTTAGTCTCCTGCGTTGTGTCTGCAATCTAAGACAGATAATTTTGCACTTTTCAAGCTGTGACTATATTTTTCTGAGTGATATATGCATGTGTGTTTTCTATTTTTATTGTATTTTATTTTATTTAGAATATCAACGTAACTTGAGCCGAATGACTGCCTGTCAAAGTTTGTTTCCCATTTCATTCATATTGTGCATAAATCAATAATGTTCATGACTGTTTTCCAGTGTTTTACATGTATGTGAATATCACGAACCGCCGCCAGAGGGCAGACTCTTCCAATGGGAAACAGGAAGCTTAAGCAGAAATACAGTAGTTTGGCCGAAGAAGACGGCGAAAGGAAGTTTGTAAACTGCTGTTGTTTTGTTTTTTCATTCGTATTGTCATATAGTTTAGACAAAAAGAAGAAAAAAGAGAGTCACTATGCCCGTTATATGTGCGGCAACAGGATGCAACAATAAGTTTGTCAAAGGGTCGGAAATAAGATTTTACAGGTAAGCTTTCTGTGCAGCGGAGGAGCTAAAGTTTCTCTTTAGCTTGCAACGGTATTGTTGCACAGCGTTGGTGTGTGTTTTCAGTCGCTTTAAGATGGCCTCAAGATTGAATGCAACATTAAAAGGTTTGGACATTAGCTTCAAGAAAAGCTGCCGTGATTTAGCTTAGCATTAGCTCCACAGAGCTAGCTAACGTTAAACGTGAGGGTGCTGACATTATACACCGCACCACGACGCCACACAGGTACAACGTAATGGCTTTTTCTGGGCAAGTTACTTCACCGCTTTCCTGATTTTTCAAGCTTCGTTTTCTTGAAGGAAGAGTATCTACTTAAAGCTAGTTGCTTATGGTTACGGCTTATGTACATGTACACGGTGTTGATATGTTAATGAAGCCCACCAATAAACCTATTTAACAAATTCCGGTTGCACATAAGGCTTTCAGAAGTGAATAGAAGGTAAGTTGACAATAATTTGGTAGCTTGATAAAATGTTACTGTAATAAATGTAGTCACTCGTTGATGCCTCGGTCAGTATCTGCTTTTAAGCAAAGATATAGTTTACAGATTTGTAAAACATAATCTGGAATTTCCTTGCATGTAAAACAAGTCCATGTAGACCAGAGTTTTGAGGTTTTGGCCGTTCACCAAAGGAAAGTTATCTTATCATTTAATTTATTCAGTTGGCAAAAGATGAGAGGAAACTGTAGGAGGTTCTGTTAAGTAGGACTGGTACATGCTTAAGTGTAATTCATGGTCCTGCAAATGCGTCCCTCTGCGTGCACGTTTCTTGCAGTCCTCCTAGATTGTAACTGCACATAGCTGGAAATGAACGATTGGTTGACAGGCGGGCTGGAAAGATTAGCAAAAGTACCCCCACAAAACTTGAAAGATCCAAAATATACAGCATGAAAAGCTCAGCCAGTGACTGCAGTGGAGACTTAGGGCTCATTGTTTCTAACATTCGTTTTCAGTTCAGCTCTTTGTATGTTAGAACTTCCACTCCTCTCCGTGGCTGACAGACCAACAACGGCACAAACAAGAGTTTGTTTGTGCTGTTGGGTGGCTGTAACTCAGGTGGTAGAGCAGGTTACCTACTGATCGGAAGGTTGGTGGTTCGATTCCTGGCTTCCCATAGTCTGCATACCAAATATCCTTGGGCAAGATACTAACCCCAAATTGCTCTCCGATGCATCCATCGGAGTATGAATGTGTGTGAATGTTAGTTAAAAAAAGCACTTAGACAAATGTGCTTGTCTGGCATCCCCAGACTACCAAATTACCTTTGCTGAACCATAATTTCTTTACATCTTTGGTTAATCACCAAATATTCATTTTAAGCCAGGATGTGTTGGATTAACATTCACACTTTGAGAGCAACTCAGGGTTCAGTATCTTGCTTAGGAATACTAGGGCATGCAGACTGGAGCATCCAGGGTTTGGAGCATCTCTTCTCTTTCTTGTGTGTCAGGTTTCCTCTTAGCAAGCCTCAACTCGCCAGCAAATGGGTGCACAGCCTTGGGATGAAGAACTTCATCCCAACTGCCAACACTTGCCTCTGTTCGGAGCACTTTAGGCCAGACTGCTTCAGAGACTACAATGGCAAACAGTTTCTCCGAGAGGATGCGGTGCCCACCATATTCACCCAAGGACAGGATTCCTCAAAGGTGCGGTCTCACAACAGGATCATGCTTATTCTAAACAGGTGACTCTGCTTTCTTTGTTTGAGGTGATAACGCTGTAAATTCCACAGATTGAACTGCGTAAAAGAGGAGTAATCCTGAAGGAGACAAATGTCGCAAATCAGATGACGACACAAGCGGACAGAGACAGAGCAAAAGAAGCTGCTCTTCGCAGAGACAAAAGAGGAGGAATGAGGGTGAGTGTCTCTTTTACTATTGTGTATACTGTGGGAGGGTAATGTGTGCTCACTTTTTTACCCCTCAAGAATTATTTTTAAAAGTCTAAAATGCAAAAATAATAATAAAGTGTCATGACTGTTGCATAAATGCAACAAAGCCATGATGTTTTGATATAACATCAGAGGTATTAGAATATTAACCAGAAGCCATTGACTGGATCATTTGAAATAAAGCAGTTTCTTTGTTGTCATTAAACCACGAATCTCTTTCCCCAGTTGTCTCTATGTGTAATATAAAGTGTATTATTTATTTTAGGCCTAATTTATCTCTGCATGAGCTATATTTCTTTGTTATTGTTATTGTTGCAGGGTGGACGAGGTGGCCGTGGAGCGAAACAGCTGTCAGACAGGTGAGAGATGCTTGCTGTACATCCACAAAAATGCATTCTAAAGCATGAAACCTTTATTGTGCTTACACCTACCACTACCACACACGTTTTGGAAATGCTTGCTGATCCAGTTTGGTGTTGCTGCTAATGCTCTTGTGTGTTTGCATGTTTGCAAGGCGAAACATCACAGCTAGGCTCACATCCTGTTTTCTTTGTTTGTTTTTTGTCATGGTTCTTCTTCCCATTGTTGTGGCTTCTCTTGGTGAATAATATTATTAAAATTGGGCTAAAAGTCAAGCCTGGACAGGGATCAGTTTTAGTTTTAAAATAAAAATGTTCCCTGTGTGGATGCAGGCATACAGTATCTCCACTGACTTTGTTGGTAGAAGCATTTGTTTGTGCTTAACACTAAGTTCTTTTTGTCATGAATCCTTTTTTTACTGTCTTGCA